CGCCATCGCCAGGCCCCCTTGTACTTACTGGAGCCTCAAGAAAGCTCTAGAATGTCAACCATATCTTCTGCTCAACCGAATTGTCTTTTAAGCATTCAGTATGAAACTTTGTTAAAACTTCATCTCTCTTACGGTTTGTATATCTTGATAGCCTTATCATTTATGAATTGTTTCGTCTCCCTTTTTATAAAACAGTTCATAGGATAGATGTCGTTATGATATTTATATCGGGTGAAAGTAGTCATTACCTTACCTTTACCTTTTTTGGATACCAGCATAAACGAGTTATCAGAAGGTTCCGTGCCATTTTCTCAAAAACAAGGGTACTTACTGCAGGCAAAGCTCGAACAGCGGCGCCTAGCATCCCCCGGGAGACTTTCAGTTCTCCTCCTGAGGTCAGGTCACCAGAGTTGCACAATCATTGAAGCCTAAGTTTAAGCTTGAGTTTAGGCTTAAGGCTTATGCTTACACATTGGCTTATGCCTAAGCCTATGATTGGGCCTAGGCTTAGTTAGTTCCTAGCTTGCTTCGAGCAAATGAGTGGTAACCCAAGTTTAGGTGACCTTATCTGGGGAGGAAAACTGCTACGCACCCATGTCGTTGGAATGCGCCATGCGCCTGGCAACAAGTTATTGTTTCTCGGCAGATCAAAACATTTTTATTGGACGCACCCGCATCCCCACGGGATCGGAGTTTGCGAAATCCAATAATGAATGATATGTTCTGATCTTCCGAGAAACTTTCCTTGGCTTTCCTCTTTCCAGGCTCTGAAGAAGGCGAAAGCGCCGAAACGTAAGCCAAATAAAAGTTGTTATCAATCTTGGTTGGAGCTTATTCACTATACTGACATATTCTCTACGACTCATGCCAAGATTCATTGAGAGTCGCACATGGAAACTTCGAGAAACATGTTGTTCCCAGACGCATGGCGCATTCCTATCACGTCGATCCACCGAATTTTTTGGTAAACTGATACTCACAGAATGTTTATTTCAACATCGTAGTGACCTGATGAGACGGTTAATCGACACATAACAACATTAAATCTCATTACAAAAATAACAAACGAATCTGAATGTCATGTTTTCCTGTTAGGTTCAATGAGGAAAGAACAAAGATCGAGTTAATCAAGGTAAATTACAGGGAACACTCTCAAAGACTGATCAACAGTCTGTTAATAAAACATTCAACACCAATAATCAAAAGGCACTTGACTGCTCGCTGAAAAGAAATCCTGAGCTATTCACGAACTATCAGGGATTCACGATCGGGACCAACTCCTATCCACCTGATTGGGACCTGAAAAAATGGGAAACTTATGAACAATCACAGAAAAGGCAAGGATAGCCGAGTGGTTAAGAGTGAAGACTCATGTCTGCACCTCTTAAAAACCGCGAGTTCGATCCCTGCCGAGGCTCTAACCATGCCTTGCAAAAATTGCAAAAATGGTTCTAGTACCAGCGTCAGGCCCAGGTTGACAGGCCGGCTGATGAACACCCCCTGTCACAACGAAATGTTCAAAAATTGCTCAAAAATCAGATGAGCAAACACAGATCACAACGGAGTTACTGGGCATTACCCCCTTACCGGAGTGAGCCGATGTCGAGAAATCTTCGAAGCTTAGGAAGAGGGGGGGTCACTGAACCAGAAGGAATTTTTCACAAATTTTACATTCTTTAACGTTAGTATATACTCTTTCTTTCTCTCTAGAACTGCTTTAGGGGAGGCAGGATACCATTCAGTAGATCTGTACGGGCGTAGCAGTTTGGAAAAATGGCAAGAGGCTCAGAGGCCAGGTGCGGCAAGCCCCGGCGAGGGGACTGGTCCCCAAAACTCCGTTTCTTTGGACGCATCCCCCTATTTTGATCACGAGGACTGCGTCGTCAACTGGAGTAGGGCCAGGTGCAGCAAGCCCCGGGCAGGAGATGGGTCCCCAAAACTCGGTGCCCTACTCTGGTCGATGACGTAGTCCTCCAAGAATAGGGGAATGCGTCCAGAGAAACAGAGTTTTGGGGACTCATCCCCTCGCCGGGGCTTGCTGCACCCGGCCCCAAGTGGTGAGATTTTTTTCGGGAATTGGTCAGATTTTCACAAAAAATTGTCATGAAAGGTAATCCAGGAGGCATTTACAGTAATTACAACTTCTTCATCTATGAATATTCGCTTCACTTCTTTCTCCAATCAATGAACATTTTAAGGGAAAATCAACTTTTTCAGGCATGCTACGAATGGAGAGACTGGAGGCAGCATCAAGTTGCGCCGTGACTAGCTGGGCCCATGGTTAGGACGGAGTAAAGGAAGGAAAGGTCGTCTTGGCCCCTCGAATTTCCTCGGCACGTGGTCTCCACCTACGGAAATCTTAACAGCTCATCTGCCGCATAACAATTCATAACGGTGAAACCATGCTACAAAAATGGCGCATTTCGAAATTTATTAGAATTAAATAAAATCAAACAACTTCTTGACCATACTCGGGGCACTGCTTTCAGGGCTACATGTAGGTGCATTCCATGGATTTTTCTATTCTCAGCTTCAACTGTTCCTCGAGCAACACCGTAATCCAGTAGTAACAATGATCTTTACCTGAATAAAGCTTTCGATGAAGAGCACGTATTCGCGACATTTCTCTGGGAGATCTTCCCATGTTCGTACGCCAACTGTCGGCGATTCCCATCCAGGGAACACTTTGTATTCAACTTCAACGCGATCCCATGCGGCTGCTTGAGCTATAAATAATGATCAATAAACAATGCATTGCAAAGATGGCTTATATTGTTCCAGCCATTCTTCCAAAGAAGCATCTGCCTGATGCAGCATGTGCACCAAGCATAGGAGGGGGGGGGGGAGAATAATTCAATTCAGTTAGCGTTGTACATAATACCAGCTGCCAGTACTATTCAAATCCTCAAACAAAAACTAGGCTCGAGATTAGAGAGCATGGGGACGGGTGAGACGCAAACACGAACGCATTCGCAACGGTAGATGTGCATCTATGCAAGGGCCATGTGATGACGAAAGACATAGCGCTGGTCACGCGCTTTCAAGTTGCGGAATCGGCTCATATAGAGCTTTTCAATTCAGTCGTGGAATACGCCCTCAAACAAAATATATTCAGTATGACATTGTCATACTAAACGCAATAAAATGACGCGAATGCACCTGTGGCCGACGAAAAATTGAGCAATATTATCAAGCTAGACACGACCTCTAGAATTTTGCCGCCTCAAATCCTTGAGTGAAATGTAAATAACCAACCAGGAGATGCACTGAGAGTTCGCATTCCGGAACTATACCGAGCGGCTTTTATTTCCTTGAACGTGTCCAAAATGTCCAACTTGGTCAGAGCGATCGCTGTGTAGCCGTTGATCTGAGCGCTGCGGCGTAACAAAAACAAATCGAGCCATCCACATCTAAAAAATATTCAAATTGATATCGCTAGACAAAACAATCGCCCATACGCTGACCTCCTTCTTCTCCCAGTGGTGACTCCGACCTCCTTTCCAATGGACTGCAGAAGATCTCCAGTTTCGTCCTTCAGTTCCGTGGAAAAGACAGTACCTACTCGCGTTTGATATCCTTCACACACTCCAAAACACTGACAGAAGGTTAATGATGTCCCGAAAAATTGAAAAAGTTCTACAGCTTCTCTCAACCTGAAATGCCAGTCGGAGAAGGTAATCCCTAGACACCAGTACACGCTTACAACCTGTAGCATCGATGATGTAAGTATGGATAATTCCTGAGCAGGCAGAGCTCTGATGTTTCTTTTTTTCAGAATAAAGAGCATTTTTGATAATGTCTAGCCAATTGTGGCCACGAAAAAAGAAATATTTGCATCATTTATTCAATTGCGACTTCTTTTTTTTATTTTAGTTGCTGTTTTCGCCAATCATTTCCGAGGCGGACTGAACTCGCACTCTCTCGCCTTACCGGGCAAATTATGTTGCCAATAATTAATAAGCACTAAATTTTCGGACTTACGCGTTTCACTGCCGTTGTCAGCTAACTAGCTCCGCATTAATCGTGTGAGTGATGATAACCTACTATACATACCATCAAATGCTGAGGCAAAGAAATATGTTACGATTATATGGATGTGAAAGGGAAGTCACCACTTTTAAGAACGTGCGGACCCCCGGAAGTAGTAAGACGTAACATCGCCGCCGAAGGCGCGCACCGTTCGTAGTTAACCTAAACCTGAGCAGCTTCGTAAATGTGGCTCGGTCTAAGGGCCATCTTTGCTCTTATTTCGCACCTCATTTCATGCTTGAATGGGCGGACCACAATATGCTTTAAGATTACAAGTAATGTTCATTATATGAAAGGCGACGTTGCTGGTATCATACCAACCTACCGTAGGATAAAATCGCAATCTCCAAGACATGCAACAGTGGCGCGACCGGAAAAATTTTGCTACGAAATGCATGTAAGGACGGGATCCGACGTGGTAGGCCACGACCGTGAACAGCGATTCACTTCGAACCCGCATGTAACGTGACGCTACGCCATGAATTTTCGTCGCAGAACACTCGCGTCGTGCCACTGGTCCGAATGGTCAGTGGAAATCTTTAAACATGTGCAAGCTTCACTTTTTCTTTGATCAATGACACTTGTTATCCTCTAATTAGTAAATCCAGTGGCACGAATTTCCGTATAACATCCCGAGCTCAAGGCAAGAGATCACGCATAGATTGGGTTTGGTTCATAGCAGAAGTGGGATATGACTGAAATGTTAACCGTGAGAAAAAAATCGATATATCCGTCAGTGAATCGCACTAATGGGACCCTTTCCTTGCCGTAGCAATCCGATAAGGACCAGCCAGCCAAAGGCCATTTTTGAGTGATGATTGATATTCCATGAAAAGCTACAGGGTACGCACTCAAATTGGAATACACCATATTCAAATGATAAGAAGCAATGCATCTTCAGTAAACACGAGGCGATCACAGGCAGCGGCAGGTGGCACATCAGGGATGTTACCAGCCCCTGCGCGCTAACTAGCATGGGTATCGTGGGGCAGGACAAGAGGGGTAAACTAAGCAGGGAGAAGTGACTGTGGAATGTAGTGGTGTTCTTGATTACATCAAGTCTCAGAGACAACACTAGGGTGACTTTACGCGAGGAAGAATCATTGGGAAACTGAAAAAAGGAAAGTTGTGTCCAGGAGTTTTGTGTCAACCACAGCATTGTTTTTTGTGCATGAGAAGCAATGTGGACCGCAGCCACTGCTGTCCCAAGAAGAGGAGGTTGTGGGTCACGAACAACCGCAGCAGCAGGTGATTGCTAGGTTTTGCTACAGGCAAAAATGGACCCACGTCAGTCACATGCTGCAGTTGCAAAAACATTTATCAGGATTGTAAGGCATGTAATCCCAGTCCGGACAGTGGCGCAGTGACCGCATAGGGGTGATCTCTCTCATCGACCAACAATACCTGTATTCATTTGAAATCCACGCCTCGGCTGGGACATTTGGTACGAGCCGAGACATTGGAGATGGACCACCGAATTGAAAAATCGCGTATTCTTCCCGGTCAAGAGCAAACTGAATGTGAGTAGTGATTCTGGACTTACCTGCATATGGGGAAAATAGGAACGTGTAATCTACCCAGGACCATCGTTTAACATGATTGTTTTGGTAGTGCATGCGACATGATGTGGGGAGGCATAAAGTTGTCGGGGCGTACTGATCCCCAACTCATGATCGCGTTACACTTTCTGATCAACGTGATTGTGGTGTTGTACCCTTCTGTCATGTGCATCTTTCCAAGGGTTCCCTTGCCCTCAGCTTCAATCGTATGGAGGGCAGTGTGCGAGAGTATCGAGCAGCCTGGGTGGAAAACTCTTGAAAAGTGAGGATTTTCGGTAATTGGTGAAGCCATTTATTTCCTCCAGTCTAATTCTATGGAGCACGTGTGGCGTGGATTCAGATGAGCTATTGTAGCACATGACCATGTGCCAACAATAGTCCTGCAGTTGTCAATCGCGGTCTCCAAGGAATCGGTCACTTCTCCTCAAGAACTCTTAACTAATCTTACGGCCTGTATGGGAACACGTAGCAGAGCATACCTTGCAGTCCGTAGTGTTCATACACCCCATCAAGAACCAGCTCCTCTCTTTTGAGTCTACCATGAGTTGGAGAAGCCTCACCTATCGACCGCTTCAGACAGGGTATTTGCAGAAAAATGTCTTTTCCAATCGCCCCTTTGCGCTTTTCTGTTAGTAACTCTCTGCACTGTACCGCAACATTTACTTCTATATATGTGCCAAATTTGGTCCACCTAGGTTAACTAGCAGTGAGATATCATGTGAAAGTTACTTCGGTCCTTAAGTTTTGCACACCAGTGTATTTACTAGAATGCATTGCTTCCATTTTGCATAAAATCTTTATCGCATCACCGTCAATGTGGAATGGTCCGACTGTAGATGGTAGCAAGGGCTCGGGAGCGCGAGAGATGCATGATGGGGGACACTTGAGGAAAAGTGTGGGCTAACTTAGTTGGGGGGGGGGGCACGCGGCGGCGCGGCAGTCTGCTCACCTGGGCTCTCTCGAGCGAGACAGTGTAAACTCGAACATTCCAGCTTTTCACGCATGTCAAGTGACTGACCCCACCCCCCCCCCCTAGACTGCCTACACTCCCCCTGGCCCACGGATTTCCGAACATGCCAGGCGAGCAGACACGCCGCGTGCCCCCCCCCCAACTAAGTTAGCACCAAAAGTGTTTTCTCCATAACTCAGCATTCTGATATATAATAATTGTATTATTCAAATGTAGAAAACAGCTAACCGAAATCAATATCCAAGAGAGCACCGTTGGCACCTTCAATCAAGATTGAGCGGCCTTTGTTCCGCATATTATGAATAAATCCAACAGTGTCGCCAACCAAGTTCAATGAGATCAGCTTCTCACGATGCTCCTAAGCAGATATCTCAATCTCTGAATCCACGTTTCATCATATTCCGCTGATCGAATTTTCCCAAGGGGGACGGTGGAGACAATGAGCAAAGCCCATAACCTCAACCAGTGCTTGAGCCCGGGTATGGTTTTTTGCTGTACTTTTATCCCCTATACATATAGCAGGGGCCACACAGCGACATAAGTGGTGTAAAAGAGAAGCGGATCACCAGACAAAGTTCGTAGCAACACCGAGATCCATACCTTGAATCGTGCCAGTTCTGCCTCCGTATCTATATCGATCGTTGGAAACTGTTTTCGATAATGATCCACAAGCCGGCAGTAGCTGTAAAAGATCTGCTAGTCTTCCTTGTTCTTACACTTTCGAAAAACAGAAATTGAGACCTCTCTGAAAATGCTTCAAAATCACCCAAAAGGTCCGCAACTCGTATGCCATTACGGAAACATTCGAAGAATATGTGGACGCCTATACCTTCGATTCGTTGTACCGATTTTTGCTAAAAACAATTAGTACCAATAGAGCCACAACGTGCTAACTTTCAAAAAAGATTTGTCTGAGTACACAGGACTCGTTCAAGTACAGAAAGTGAAAGACGTGAATTAAAAGTTAAGAAAGCGTGCCTACATTTTTACTGCGCCAGAGGCAATCACCACAGTTAGCACATGACTGACGCGCATGCGCGCCACATTTCGCGCAACGGCATGATTTCGGCTCCAATCACTTGGTATTCGCTTCTACGTTTGAAATTCTCCGCTTACATTATTGGACCCAGAAAATGTGATGTCCATTAAAGCAACCATCCCAGCAGTGTTCTTACTTTCGACACTAATGGTGTTGAACGATGCACTAGCCCTAGTCAACAACATAATTGACCGCCAAAAATCACCTTTATTTTTTTTATGAGCACCTGCGAAAAGATTGAAGCCCTTCGAAATGCGTGTCGGCTGAAATAGTACGCCCCTCTCGCCAGCTCGTGGAAATTGTTGATTGCTGCGAGTCGCTTTCGCGTGGATCGCGAATGGATCTCAATAGGACCCTGGTACCAAATCGCGTCGCAAATGCTCCGCAGCCAATCACGCGATCTCCACGGCTGGCAAGAGGGGCTTACGATCGGTGGCCGACACGCCCACTCCGAAAGCGTTCAATCTCTTTCGCGACTTTCCAAGGCGAGCTTTTTGTTCAGTCACACTTCCTACGCTTTTGATTAGGGCTAGCGCATCAATCCACACCATTAGTGTCAAACGTAACATCCCTGCTAGGGGCTGCCGTCCAAAGAGATGAGTTAAGCCAATTAAGTCCAAAGTGAGTGAGAAGGATTGAGCGATTCATGGAGAAAGAAAATGTGCCATTCCCGCTCTTCGAAACTGCGAGCGGAGCTTAGGATTGGTTACGGCAGCAAGTCACTGCATCTACTACTTCGAACGCGACGGTTGACACAATGAGGAGTTCTCACTCGTCTTTTGTGCTTTCCCACCTCTCCACCAGCTCAACATTCATCCATCGTAGCACATTCTATCTCTTCGAAGAGGATTTCCTCAGCTCAACTCAAGAATTTTGCTTCTTAGCCTATTTTACTGTCCCCTTGAAACTGCCCCTTTCAAGCATTCTCTGGTTTTAATGCGGAATATGGTTTCTAAGCGAAATATCAACATGAAATGATCGTGGAAAAGGGCCTAAAAATATGCGTGTGATGACGTCAGAAAGCTGAAAGCATATCCTGACGGTTGTTGAGGCAGGCATATAACAAGAAGATGGAGCACCGCACATCACTGCAATCTTCCTTTCACAAAACGGCATGAAGTAGGGGAAGGGATGATAAATCGAGAGGTCGTATATAGGAAAAGAAAATGATTTCAACCTCTGTTTGATCTTATCTCGTTCCCTGACCTCGAAAGAACCACTTAAAAACATACTTTATTTGAGACAGGCTCGCCTCATGACGACCATCAACCTGTGCGTGGACTCCAAACACGAGATGAGCTTCAGCCGATATCATGATCCTAGAAATTTCGTATAAGTTAAGATTTTAGCTAACCTTTACGAACTGGTTTTACCTCTTTTCCCATCCTGGCTCATCTGTCACGCCATTATGATCCAGCTCAGAGAAGAAAGCATCCAGGTTCACGACAACTCCATTTCCTATTATGTTAAAGCACTGAAAACACGGATAGTGACGTAAATGAGATTCACGCGCTTGAAATTCAAAGAAAAATAACTTCATGAGACCATATTAGAAAAAAAATTTGATCAGAAAATGCTATGTGATTATTCACTGATAACCTGAACCCTACAGCATGACTGTGATACTTAAAGGCAGTGGTCACGATGAATAGAATGCGGCAGCTCTGATGACGTCATTGAGCGCCATTGGTGAACGGGTGTTCAGAGGCTGACCCAGCCATGTACCCCAGAACGCTGAGTGTTCTAGGCTGCCAATGACGCTAATGACGTTCCCGAACCGCATCGCCCTCCAGCCATTGTAATCATTACAAAGTTTTGGAAAGGGATTGAAAAGTGGAATGCTCAATATTACTCGGCATTCAAGAAAAACAAAACTCTTCTTCGACCTGCCTTCCGAATTTGAGGTCTTAGTGCTAAATACGCATACAAACCCCCAAAACGGAAGCCGTGTAGCAATCAAAAATCAAACTTAGTGATGCCGCGCAATTCATTTTCTTGAGCCAATTCTGAGAGCAATAAGTTATACTAGGCAGGGCGACAAAATCGATTTCCAAAGGATTCAAAACACCCCGAACGTGCCTACATTACAACTTGCCCCTATGATGTTGCGCACCAAATTCCTAGGAATCTACTACAGGTTGTACCTATCCGTACTAAGAGTTCGCGTCGCTGCCTACTGACAAAAAATGCCAGCGAGACCGGTGTTGTCTGTTTCAAAGCAAACTTCGAACAGATATTTCACGACCGGATGATTTCGTCATTCAGGAATTGCCGTTAGAGTGATGCCTAAACAGCGATTTCGAACATTTTTAGGGGTTTCCCCTCTTCAAGTTGTTACATCTGATGAAAAGAAAACATCGCTAATCAGCTTCCTGGGAGAATTCACGATAAGAACGAAGGTCAAAGAAGGGGAAATTGCATAGTTGGGAGACAGGCGGACCTCCTGAGGGTGCTGACCGACGCGCAATTGGCAGCGAAAGATTTGACCTCGGCGATCTAGCATGGCTCACTCTTGGCGCGGTTGGCGGGGTACGCCCACCGACTATCTAATCACTCGCCGCAGGTCTATACGTGGCGAGTGATTAGATAGCAGAGAGAGCGTAGTGTTGAAGAGGGCACAGCGATGAGAGTCGCATCAATGCGCAAATCAACGGGCAAGGAAGGGTCCCATTTCTCGGGTTTCGGGCCGTTTCAAATGGTTTCTTCTTCATCCCTGCTCCACTGACCACCTCTACCCTTATTTCCAATGAGCTAACTTTTCATCGTAATTCTGCCTTTAAGGCAAAAATCACAATGAAATGAATGAGAAAGGTGGGTAGTGGAGAGTGTAGAGGAATGACCAAGTAGGCGGCAGGTAGAAATTTTGCGGCAGAAGGCGTGCTATAAGCCGCGTAATGAGGCGCTTGAGAGTCTTAGAAAGCCCCTCCTGTTCTCAAACATGTATGCACATTGTCGGCGTACTGTTTCACCGACCATCGAACAGCAACTGCTCATCAGTTGCCGCAGCTATTATGCCTGTGTTAAATTTAACGCTTTGTCAGCGGTGAACTCGTCCATACGAACCAACAGGTGAAAGCGGTTCCTTTCCTCGGGTTTTTGCCCGGTTCTCTTAGTAACTTTTGAAGAAGAGCACATCTGGCACCTCTACTTCCACAGTAACCGTTCATCAAAGTGAGAGACTTAACTCATCAAGTACCACAGGAAAGACTTACTTTCGGACTAATAATTCCACTAGGCAAAATATGAAAGTCATATTTCTTTCCATTTGCAACGACCGTGTGTCCAGCGTTGTTGCCTCCTTGACAGCGCGCTGTCACTTGTACCTGTAACCGAGAGAAAAATAAAGTCAAATACCGAGTTCGATAGAATTTCATTAAACAGATTTCAGAAACTCATTTTCATCTCATATAATCACAACAAGTCCAATTAACACATTGATGACCCGGCGCATGTTTTTCAACGGTTTTTCGCCGGCGCGAAACGACGTGGGACTTCAGTGAAATTTTTAGGAATGTTGTTAAGCAAATTGAGAAGAAAATTCTACCGGATGATGCAGAAGAATCCTTATCGAATGCAGGCGGAAAAAAAGCAAAAGGAAAACTTGGCATTTGTTTTCCGAGATGTGAGCTGAAAGGCAAAGTCGGTCCTATCGTTGCTACTTTTCAAAAAGTTTTTACGACCCCCCTCCCTCATCGGACTGTTTTATACCACCCTGCCCTCCTTTCAGAACAATTTTACGGCCCAAGGGCACTATTGAGCTATTACAACCCCAGAGGGGGTGAGATGGATCAAAAAATTTTTTCGCTGAAACTTGCGCTAGGGGGGTTATCGAGGCTCCTGATCACGAATATGACCTTAGTTTTTGGCGCTGGCGCCAAATTGGCGCCATTTGGCGCCAATTGGCGCCAAGGGTGTTTTCACCAAATTCGCTGTAAACTTGTGAATAGGGGTTATCGAGGCTCCTGATCACGAATATGACCTTAGTTTTGGCTCAATTTCTCTAGGTGACGCTCGAAATAGATGTCATCTAGGCGCTCATCCAGTAAGGGGGGCATCAAGTGGCTGCCCTCACCCCCCACCCCCCTGAACTGGCTTCACTCCCCCTGGCTCACGGGGTCCCGTACTTCGAGAAACCTGTGTGCCAGGGGGAGTGTAGGCAGTCTAGGGGGTGGGGGTGAGGGCAGCCACTTGATGCCCCCCTTACTGGATGAGCGCCTAGATGACATCTATTTCGAGCGTCACCTAGAGAAATTGAGCCAAAACTAAGGTCATATTCGTGATCAGGAGCCTCGATAACCCCTATTCCACAAGTTTACAGCGAATTTGGTGAAAACACCCTTGGCGCCAATTTGGCGCCAGCGCCAAAAACTAAGGTCATATTCGTGATCAGGAGCCTCGATAACCCCCCTAGCGCAAGTTTCAGCGAAAAAATTTTTTTGATCCATCTCACCCCCTCTGGGGTTGTAATAGCTCAATAGTGCCCCCAAAAAATTACCGTCGAGCTCGCGTGGGGAATCTACGCGCCGCTGAAACGGCAATTTCTCCCTGCACACCGCTGCCCCACTAATCACAACACTTCTCTACATCCGAAGCCAAGTACGCGACCCCCCCTGCTAGCAATAACTCGTCCCAAACCGACCCCCCCCCGTTTGCTCACTTGTAGCCAAACCTAGGTTGACTTCCTGCTGAACCAGGTCCCCTAACGACGCCGTCGACGACAGAGCCCACTTGTTGCTCATGGCTCCAAGTGTCAATATCAAAAAAAATAGTAGAGACTAAACATTTTCCTGTAACAAAAATAATGGAGCAATGCTGCAGTTCTTTTCGTACAGGTTTTATAAAAAGAGCAGCAAGCTGAAATTATCGGTGAACCCTCAGTAAACGGTCCATCATGATATCAGAGTGTTCGCAGGCTCCCACAAGTTGTCATGTGGAAATAGCAACATTCAAATCGGAATGGCTCTTGGGTGTACGGCGTACCCAGTAAGCACATCACCAAGCCAAAAGCTCCAATTCATGGTTACCACTATTATGAAGCGAGTTGAAAAGAGGTCTAGTGTTGCTTGAAATTTTGTGGCTCATCTCACTACGCACTATTCTGTGAAGTATGGAGGCTTCTTACCACTTCGAAAAACGTGGAATTGTTGGCATCCACGAAGACTGTACTGGCCATCTTTTTCTCCTCGACTGATACTTTGTGGATCAAAAAAAAACCTTCATAAGATTTTAAATACACATCAGTATTGGCTGGGAACGTCTCGGGCCGACGGCCTTTGGGCCTAATGGTAAGCATAGATTCACGGGGAAAACCATAGTTCCACCTTGTGTTAACAAAAACGCTATATAAATCTGTAATGGTCTCCCTGGTCTCATGCACGTAGTGTAACAAAAGGATCACGACGATGACTTGGTCATACGTGACAGAATTGCTGGAACGTGCGTAGCTGCAGTAGTTTTCTTACTTCCGCATTAATAGCGTCATCGAAACACCGTTCCGCTCTTAGTCAAAACGAACAATCATCCTCAAACAATTGAGTCTCTAAAATCCTTTTTGGAACTGCTGATTGTAAGAGAACAATCAATAAAACAACTGTATGTAGCAGTAACATGTCTATTGAAGAATTCATCTTAACGTTCCACTGCCGATGTAGGTCAACCGGCTTGTAACAGTATGAGGATCAGCGCTCGCGAAGACTGCTGACAAACTGGAAATACAAGGTCCCACGAGTGCGTTGAATAAGCGCAAGAGGGGGAATATATGTAAGGATTCGAATTTCACATACACTCAATCTTATTGTTCACGATCCAGCATTCTTACATTCAGAATTGCTTTGAAATGCGCAAAAGAAGATGACCAAACTCAATGGCGACACTTCACACTGTGCCAAATTCTACCTTTGTATACTTGAAGGAGGAATTT